GGTTCAGAAGCGGGACAGGTCCTCGTAGTTGATATCGATGAAGAAAGGAACCCCATTCTTGCAACTTAAATCCGTGAAAATCGAGATCGTAACCGGCAAACCGAAATAGTTGGAACTCATGTCTGAAGTTATAAATTCTCTCTTATGTTACAGTTCTTGCCCTATTTCTCAGTTCTCTCTTTATCCCTCTCTGCCCCATGTATACATAGAGTACTGTGTGTTCATTGTCATCATCCTTTTTTTCTTTTTTTTTTAAATGACAAGTAAATATTATCATGCATTTTTGTCTTTTCATGGTTTCATCTTTATTACAACCGGAAATTCTTGTGTCATTTCACTATCATTTTGTTCCCAATTTGGCGTTCGGAAAACGATTTTTCATCGAAATATCATGAAAACAATCATACGACGCTTTGAGTTTTGTGATAAAGGCTACAGAAAATTATATTATTTTCTCATGCATCCTTATGAATGACGAAGAACGGGTAAAATGATTAAAATGAACAAGCTACATATTTATTAAAATAGTTCTCCAATACAAGCACGATCAGTGGAATAGCTAGAGATCTAAATTATTTACGGTCACACAACTGCAAATATCACATGTATAATACATTAAGATTAGGACATGCAAATACACGTTTATTTTTTTTTAATTCATCTATTTTATAACGTTCCCGTGAATAATATTAGATAACTCGGTCGTGTCGGTCGCTTTGGACTCCCTATCTACTCGGACACTCGTACTTGTTGTTGACTAGGCCGAAACAATGATCGGAAACGTCCTTGGAACTGCATCAATCAATGGCTAGAACGTGATATATGGAATTAAACTTTTTTTAAAAAAATCATTAATTACATATGAATTGATAACGATTATTACAAAAAAAGGGAAAACATTGAGATATTATATATATACCTAACCCAAGAGCATCGACGCTTTTCATCAACCTTAGACGTTTGCATGATTCAACAAACATCCTGCAACACAAGAACTTAAGCCACTCAAATGAACTATATGATAGAACAGTGCTCGTAATCTATGCTTTTGGTTCAAACTAAGTATATGTATAAACATATATATGGATGGAGAGTGGTAGTGTAGGAAACTCACTTCCAAGGTACATCTCCGACCAACATCCAGTCTCCGTCCTTGTCTTGGTAAGTAGGCACATACTCGCGATGCACTCCGCTCTTCTCCGCCTCCACCACCTTACCTGCGACGATGATAAAATGACCAAAATACCCTTTTAACTTCTCCGTCCGTTCGGTACAAGATCCGTAAATTTCTTTTCCATTTCTCGGTTACTCACTGATCGTTAAGCCCGGAAACATGCTCGCTAGAGCATTCAAAAGTTGTTCGTAGCAATCGTATGTCCCGAGATCGACTTTTCTAAGATAGGCTGCGCAATCTGCTGCCACCTTAACGTACTTCCGGACCATCTCCGTCGCTAGTTTCCTCGTCCTCCTCACCGGCGGCCACCCCACCACTTGTGCCCTATGCCCCAAAACAAAACATCAATATGCATGTCACATGTGTATGTTGAAATTATTATTTTACCGTCCAAATATATACATGTCTTGAATATATAGTTTAGTTGCCCTACTTTGGAGGTGGAGATGTAGTAGTGACGCTTGAGATATCGTTGTTCATAACGGAGTTTCCGAGACTCAAATCAACGGTCTCGAGAAACCTACGTTTTGTGCCAGACTTTTGTCCACCGTCCGATGAGATCGGGGAGCTTCCGGGCAAGCCGAGGGTCAGCTCGGTCACCTCCAAGTCGCCGGATTCCGGCAAACCCTTCCCAATTTCCGGCGACATGGTTTCTAGTACGTTAACGAAGTTACGTGTAGAGGCCTACTATCAGAAAAATGCAAGCGATAATGAGACGATGAGAGGCACTAAATTTTGGCACTAGTGAGGGGTTGTATATATAGTGGTACTAAAAAACATCCTGAGCCACACCCAGAATGGCACGTGTCCTATAACTGGCGGCTGTGATCTGTCCACGGAGGCATCTATAGTTTGTGATGAGCAGTTGATGCGTGTGCCGTTGGTCCCACGCCGGTCCCTGTCGACTAGAATCTTTTGGGGCTTCTTAAGCATCTAAACAGTCTCTGAACTTGGACATTACTAGAATTTTTGTACTCTTTGATTTAATTCTCTTTATTTATGTCCGAACAAAAATATAATTCTCCATCCCCAATTCACGTGAATGTTTATTTTTTTCCTATAGAGGAAGAACCTTGGAGTGACCACCATTATTTTAGAATATGGAGTTTGGAAAGAGTTTTTTTATATGTAGTGAATTCTTTTTTTTTTATAAAGAAAACAAAGTAGAAATTTGTTCTTTGGGATAGATTGGTTTTAAATAAATATTAAAGGATTGCATGCAAATGCTAACTATTATTGGACAGACGTATAGGAACCACTCTTTTTCAACCTTCAATGACTTCAGATGTAAATTATCTTTTTGTCTATTTTAGTTTTATATATATATTCTTCTAGAGTGATCTTCTTCGGCCATGTTCCTTTTGTCTGTTTTTTCTTGTCTATGCCTCGTGGGGAATTGTGGTTTTGGTTTTACGGCAAGAAGAAGAAAGCTGGCCCCCCTATACAATAACTGCGGGTCAGTTCTTATGGTTGGTCCGAGTAATGATGTATGTATACATTAGACTAAAGCATACTATATCATCACCATATATATACATACGAGTATTTACCATAGCTAAATATCGTATCTGTCGCCTTTTATTCTTCAAACAAAAAAAAACTACTCTTATACTTAGTAACCGGCCGTCTCATTGTTAACGGAGAGGCCCATGCATGCAAATAATATATATCTATATCTATTTTTTATTTTTTTAATCAATTTTAGTATATATATATATATATATATATATACATATTGAGATTTCTTAAAATTATATATTGTTTCAATCATAAAAAAGAAAATTAATTTTATAATTATTTTTTATGATAACATTGTAACAAAATTTGAAAAATTTATGACTCAATTTTTAAAAATTAAAAATAACATGATTTTTTTTTTAAATGAAGTCCCAAAAAATTAGGGTCCTGTTCAAATGCATCACTTGGACTTCCTATAAGACGGCTCTGCTTGGTAAGTATACTATATATATATATATATATATATATATCCTTCGCTTGCCATCAATCATCCAAATCAACGAACTAGAATAAAACATGAGTTGTATATGATTCACATCTCTAATTAATACTGTATTGTTTTAATAAATAGATGTTGTAAAAGATAGAGTTTACACGTAGATATTAGGGTTTTCATGTAACGCTTTAGAAAGGGGGGAAAAAGGCGATGATTGCAATGGGACACGTGAAGGTGTTTCGTCGTGAGGAAACAATGAATTATTCGAGATGACGCTTCCTTGTAAGCATTCTCCGACCAATCACATTCCAAGTGGCAACTGGTGGTCTCTCCCACCGGCACGTGGCTTATTCTCCGGTGTTCACCCGCGCATCCATCACCGGTTTTTCAGGTCAACCATTCTTTTTCATTCACTCATTCCTTCTTTTATTATTATTATTATTATTATTATTATTATTATTATTATTATTATTATTATTATTATTATTATTATTATTATTATTTTCTTATTTATTTGTTTGGTTGTGTGGGGGCGTTTGATAAAAATCTCTATCTGAAAAAGCCGAAGGCAAAATTCCAATGACTTTCTGGTTTGAAACGAAATTGTATTCGATATTTACGAAAAATATTATGGCCATAATTAAACATTTGAGGTTACGTTAAAATACTATTAGGTCAACCATTATTGTTTCAAGGGGTGGGATTTAAAAATCTCAAGTGATCTGTTTTATTTCTGCGTAGGCTGATCTCAAATTGGTCTAAGGTTACGTTACATATTTTTTTTTATAACCGAGTATTTTGGGCTGCAACCTAGACTAATCTCGGGATCAGGAGTCATCCCTGTGATTTGAATTATACGCTCTCTCTCCAACTTGAGACTCGAATTTCAGGCGGAACAGATACTTTGCGTTCTCATTTCACCGGTTGAACTATTCAAGTTGGATATTACATTATATATTTAAATTAAATTAATATTTATTTTCTTTAAATACGGAAAAAGAGGAGACGAATAATTTAGGTTTTGCCATATCATGACCAAGACTCCATCGAACAACCACCATTTTGTAGACGTACGATCCTCTCATCATTAATCGATTCTTATAATAATAGCTTTATTTATAGTGCCATATATAATTTTTTTTTTGATAACCAAGATGGTTCCTCGGACCTTCGGTCCGACTACATTCACCCTAGATCCGAGACCAGCCTTTGTATATGAACCATTTAAGTCCAGAAATTACATCCCTCCCCACCAGTGGAATCGAACCCAGGACCTTGAGGATGACTTTGTCACCTCTCAACCACTGGACCATCAACTGTTGGGTATTTAGTGCCATATTTGATTGAGCCTAATTTTATAGCGTTTTTTATATCGCAACAAAGTAGGAGATATGCATTATTAAAAGCGTGTCCAATTATTTAAATTAACCGCAATGTCAATATATATATTTGTGATAATTAATAATAATAGTAAGGGAAAAAGAATCGTTATCTTCGAGTATTGTGTAGTTATAACATTCAGTCTCTTGGCTGCGACTCAAAAGCCTCAGCATCTGATATCTTCATTAGCCTAAGCCTCTTGCATGTTCCAATGAACATTCTGCAGCAATATCATTTCATAGTCAATAAACCGTAACAAATATATATA